CCCCAAAACCCCAAAACCCCAATAAATTAATATTCATTAGATTATGGTAAGCTAATTATTGATTAAAATATAAAAATTTAAAGCCACAAATGAATCAAGATAACCAATAAAATCAAAACAACATTGATCTAGAAGATAATACTAACTTAAGAGTATCCTTGCCTCAGACTTAGTACTTCTCACATGAAGCCTTGAGAGAGATGTCAAAGAGATTCAAGGAGTAGAATAAAGAAAATTAACATGATATGCAAATGAATTGGCCAGGGCAAGCATCTGAAGACAATCTCCTCTACTACGGAGACACTATGTGCTTTGAGTAGAGATATATCAATGACCTTAGATTTCAAAGATTCACCACGGATAACAAGTTTACTTTTGCAGCCGATGTAAGATATATAAACAGTTCCTAATTTAATCTTAGTTCATAATAAACGAAAAGACTCAAATGAGAATGAATTGTCTGGTCAGCAATAAAAACAAGCAAGTCGTGGGATTTCTTTACCCAAAGTTCAAATATCAGTTCAGACCCAAGACCTAGCTTGAGGGAGGGTTTTCAGTAGGATCTATACACAGAAGAATGATTGGAATTAGTCACATCCTTTCTCCAAAACTATCTGTGGGCTATCAAGCAGAGTTATGCTATCTGCGAAAGCAATTGACCCATAGCTTCTCTGCTAAGGAGAAGTTTGGAAGAAATAGCTATTTGACTACAACCTATTCTAATAATTCATAAGGGAAGTACAACTTTAAAATAAAGAATGATAATTATATTGATGACTAAGTCACTCAAAACTACCAAAATCTAATGCTGAGATCTGCAAAGAAGGTGACATCGATAGTATCTATAAGAGAAAATAAGATAGAGGCACAAGCAATGAGCTCTCATAAAATATCGAGAAGATTTAGGTCTCGTTTGCAAGTTGGCGCTAGCATGGATTCAGAAGTGTCATATTCAGCCGAGAATGAATTTAAATGGTAATTCAGAGATCATGTGAGATTATATTCAGGCTTGAGATATTCAATTGATGGATGGCAGTTTTTATTTGGTATAAAAATAGCTGGGCTTAAGCTGAAAATACCTCTAATATTTATTGAAGGCGAAGGGAATTAGGAAACAGAAGAAGTATCTAAAATATAAAACTACCCAAATTGGTTTAAATACTCCCTTATTATTGGTGGATTTGTGCTTGGTACATACATAATGAAGATGCTAGATAATAATATTGATAAAAAGAAAATTACGAAATGGATCTAAAACAGCTTGATAAAGCTTAAAGACAGACAAGAAGATTCTTTACTTCTCATTAAAGACAGATCAATAAGAAATTAAAGACAAATAGAAAGCAAGTTATTTATAATGAGAGCTCTATATGGCTAAAAGTCAGAGATTAAGAAATTTATAGATAGATTTTAAGGGGGTGATAGACTGAATTAGATTACAAGCCCATACGAAAGTTCTTTTGTTAGTGAGATGCCTTATGGAATCAGTGATGTTACTATTCCAATAAGGTTCTCGTTAGAGCCAAATGGTTTGACACTTGAAAAAATGAAAACTAAAGAGAACATTCTTGGATTCTTCAACCCTATCCCTCCTTTTAGAATGGAACATGATAATCCAGTGCTATGTATAATTTACAAAAGATAGGAGGAGAGTGATACTATTAGAGTAAGCTATTATAGTGATGATGAGGAAGTTAAGATTCTTATTGATGTTTAGCAATGATAAAAATTTAGAATTTAAGTGATTTTAAAATTGATTTCGATTTTCATTACATTGAATCATGGGGTTTTGGGGTTTTGGGGTTTTGGGG